GAAGCCCAATAATCACAAAACATAGTTGTTCCACGTCTTCCATCTAGTGAATTTTGACCTCGAAAACCACATTCTAATCTCAGTCCCTCGTCACTTAGGCCATCCCTAACCCTCCATATCATCTAGTGTCCATAGCATTAATTACATTGCCATATAAACGAAAATCTGATGTGGCAAGAGAGTTAATGAGGAGAGGGGTAAAAAGATGAAGAAACCATCTCTACACATGAACCAAGAAAGAAAACAAGGGGATAGGTGGATAAAAAGAGAGAGATGAGATGTGATTGGATGAGAATTTAATTTGAAGACACCATCCATTGGATATATAGTTTCTATACATAGTGTCTATATGACATGGCAAAAGTGGAAACTATTTGATAGTTTTTAGGTTGGGGATGGCCTTACCATGATCACCTCCTAGTTTGATCCACATTAGTCCAAACATTTATCATTTTTGTCTATTGTTTATCATATATATCACACATGATTTCACAGTATGGTAATTTTTTAAATTTAAATATCCCATTATCAGTTTCAATTAAAACGTTTTATGAAAATTAATGATTAAATTTCAATTGTACAGTCCACCTACTGTCAATAGTAGAAGGTAACAAAAAAACCCCCCATTTGACAACTACCCCATCTTGGTATTTTAGACCACTTTCTTAATTTGAATTGAGTATCATGAGCAAGTTGTTCTATTGAAAGGGATTTCAGGTTAAGTTCTAAAAACAAAGAGACTTCAGGTTATACCGTGAGGACGCACTGGTTGGTTTAGAATAATGCATCTGCATCCAAATTGATGACGAGCTGATGATATAACGACCTAGACAAATCAATGCACAAAGAGCTAACTTATGTTACTGTCATGGAATTGTGCGATTGACAAGTGACAAAACTGTCGTATAGCTTAGAACACGTCCCAGGGCAGGGAATTATTTCACTGTTTGCTCCAATTAAATAGGAGATTTCGGTCCAATTGAAGTGATTCTTTCAGGTGCATCCAAGGCCCTAAAGGCCGAGAAGAGGATGAGAGAGGGGCAGAAAAGGGACACGGATAGGCCAAAACGATGACTCACGAGGAGAACATATACCCACATACGTACGAGGTCACCTTCCAAAAATTCCCTCACGTGCTCACATAATGCCACTTTTCTTTTTGCTACCTGCAACTTTATTTATGTCCATTGTAACGTTTCCTTCCATGTTGTCATCTGTCCTGACTCCTCCTGGGGTTTACAATTTGTTGCTTGTTCGATCTCTGCTCAGAAATCGGCTAATTATAAAATATTAGTTGGTTCAAGTGCAGGTATGCTGGCATTTGTTGTTTAATTTGGCCTAACGTAAGAGTGGTTTTAATTTATTGCCGACAGCAAAGTATCCAACCCCGTTCAGTGATGCGCATGATGCCTGTCATTTTGGTAAATCATATGATTTTACACCGACTGAAGTTCGAGTTCAGAGGAAACAACCTTTGTTAAAACGGTTCATCTTCCACTTTCACTATAAAAAGGAGCACAATTAACCTTCCCTCCCCAACCCAACCCACATACATAAAAAAAATCACCACATTAACCCATGTTTTCAGTTAAAGTGTCGAAGCGTCGCTAACTAACATAAGAATCCATGTAAAAACAAAATACACACAGAGACAGATCTAGAAAAACATTATAGGGGAGATTTATCTACTTCTTTCTCCTTTAGCCCCTGGCCCTTCTCTTTTTCATCTCCCTCATTTTTCCCTTTCTCTCTCTCCTTGGTGATCCAGTGGGGCATTTGAGTCCCCTCAGCGCTTACGCTGAATCCTCCCTTGAACACACACAACTCAGATTAATCATTTGTTAAGGAGTGTATTTCTGTGTGTAGTGGAATCTTCTATGTAATAGAGAAAAAACACACTAAACATGCTACTCCTAATTAATTAATCGTATACATTTGGTTAATAGAACTAATCCAATATTGCATCCGGATCTATGGTACCATATGAACCAACATCAATAGCATGATTTTCGAAAATAGCAAAACCACATAGAAAGCCTGCAAAGTGGGGTGAATACTAAAAGAAGTTTTGTCTAGGTTTTAGACCTAAGAGCATCTCCAAGGGACTCTTGAAAAATCTTCAAATAGAAAGTTTCATAAAAATCTTCCATCCTTATACTTCTTTGCCTTTCAACCTACTCTATTTATTCAACTTTTCCATATTTATTAATTTTCATTAAAATGTCATTATTTTTAATAGCTACGATTTTAATGTATAATACTGTAAGGGTAACAGAGTTGGGTCAGCAAGGCACGGTTGAACAAAAGGCTAGAGGAAGGTGGCGAGGTTAGGAAAAACAAACCCGCAAAGATGATGTTTGATTTTTTAAGGTCCAAACAACAACAAAGAGTATGTGTGGCAACGGCAGCCAGGTGAATGGCATGTTGACCGGCTGACTGACAAGGAAAGGGTGGTTTAAAAACTTACAAACATATAGAACCTTGGCGATGGTTAGGTTTGATTTTTGAAGTTCCGTATGACAATACAGGAAGACTTACCGGTGCGCAAGCAGCAGACATAGCAGATGGCGATCTACAATAAGGTCTTGTCAAATTATATGGGGAAGGAGGTCATGATTGGAGCCCCTAAATATGGAGAGTAACACTGTTTTTTTTAAGGGCAAAGTGCACGGATTATACTTGTGCGGGTTTATTATCTAGATCCCTAAACTTTAAAATACATTTTCGAGACGAAGTGAATGTAGCTCATTTTTTTAATTCCTTTTGGTGGAACCAACCCACCATCTTGTGTTCAGGTCCTAGACTTAATAAGGACATTTATATTTATGGTAATTTTTCTTTCAGTTATCGGTAGCGTATCCGTTCATAGCGAGGTGTTTGTGATAACTTCATCAATTTCAAGATATGCTAGACTATTCTTCTGAAGGTGCTCTCATAGGAGTAGGGTGTGTGTGCACAGTTATAAGCGCTTGTGTTTATACCATGTTTCTAAAAAGAAGATGCACGAACTTGTCAAAATAGGTATCAACCTGCTCTGAGTGCTAAACTAGCATGTCACGTCAGCACAAATGTGTTAGTGGGACCCACATGTTAGTCACATAGAAAAAATTAAAATTAAAAATCATCATTTCTCATCTCTCATCTCTCTTTCTCTTCATTCTTTTTCCATCTTCTTCTTCTGCTGCAGCTGCCGGCGTCGAGAACAATGGCCAGGGAAATAGATTATTAACTTAGTGCTCTCTGACTTTGAATGGCTAACAGGTGGGTCCAATAGCCTGTGGGCCCACCTATTAGTGACCCACACGTCAAAGTGCAGTAAGTCAAAGGAGCCTCTTCCGGCAGCCACGTCCTCTGCTCAATCCAGTGGCAGCCGGTGACGGGCTCGGCGTAGGGAAAGGAAATTGAACTATGGACTCATGCAGAGGAAGGAAATGGCACATCCTGGAATAGCTGGAACCCTAGGCTGACCGTCGGCGCCCGGTCCAAAAATCCATCGCCATCGATCATCATTTTGCACAATTGAAGGTAGGAATGAGTTCCCAACCCCAAGACCTTTATTTCCTGTCTTGTTTCCTAGCCGCAAAGCCTCCGGGTCTCCCCTTGACGCTGCCTATTTTAGACGCTCGCCGACTGCACACCGTCGCACTATTATGCGCCGCCTCCATCCGCTTCCTCTCGACGCCCTGATGCCCGCTACCCCCTCCTTGAAGGCCAACTCACCAGAGTCGCCACTACCGTATTGTTGTTCTCCTTCTAGCAGCCGCCGACCTTTACTGTCGCCACATGGGAGGAGCCCCGGGTTGGGTTCTTCATCCCTCCAGGATGACAGAACCAAACCCTCCCTGCTGCTTTGCCGCCTCTCTCACTACCGGTGGAGCTGAGCCAATATCAGGCCTCCTCGAACCAGGGAAAACCGACCAACCTTTTTTTCTTCTAATCCTATATATCTATAAAGTTCAACCCTACTAAGTATAGTTAATGCTAATTTTTCTTATCTCATGAAACCATATCAGCTCAATTATTTTTAGCTTTTGGGTGATTCATCAAAGGTACAAATTGCACCTTTTCTCCTCAAAAGTCACACCTTACAACACAATCATTTATAATTTTTGGATAATTAATCAATTTACAACATATATAAGCACGTGAAAAAAAATTGTATAGTAAGTAAGAAAGAAAATTTTACAACTCATATAGTCATATATATTATTTCATTACACAATTCTCCCATAGCAACGTGTGGCCAGCGGGGTTCCCATCAAGTAAATCGAAAAGATTAAAGGGAGATGAGAGAGAAAGGTGAGAAAAGATGTTTTGTAATTATAATTTTTTCTATTTGATTGATATGTGGGTCCCACCAACATATAGGCGCTGACATGGCATGCCACGTCGGCACATGGAGAGGGTTGACGTCCGTTTGGACCCGTATGACACCATAACAAGTTTGGAGACGGCAAAAATACATTTTGAGAATTCTGGAACCTAAATAACATACCCGTAGATGTTTAGGGAACCGCGTGTGCACTTCACTATTTTATAACATTGATAATTTTTAATTTTAAGGAGTAGGTTAGTCCCTTGGAGATGATGTAAACTTTGTTTGAAACACATAGCTAAAATTGTGACACACTGACATTTTTTTATAACCCTCTTATTCATGTGATTCAAACAAAAAATAAAGTTTAACAAAATCTAATTTTGGCAAAATCAGAGATCCAATCAACCACTTAAGAGTTGCAAAATATCTGGCCAGTATGACGTCCTGAAGTGCAAAACCTAAAAGTAGGCCTGCGACAGGTATGGAACCGTGGAAGAATGGCAAGAACTTGACGCTAGTCTGATTTGGGATTATCTTAATTCCTAAAATAGGTGTGGTCACCTGTTGAGTGCAAAAGCAGACATTATGATGGTAACAGCTTTTGAGCATGCAGACAGCAAGTTCTGTGGCTTGTTTGGTTAAAAGTCTCATACTAACTAGTGTAATGGATAGGCCACTAGGCTAGCTGAAACATCTCAACAAATTAATATGGACCTTGAAAAAAAATCAGAACACTTTCTCTGAATCAGAATACACAAGTAAAAACACCATTTCCTCCTTTGTTGGCCATAAGCTAGAACTTCAACGAACTTCCTCAGAGATTACAAGGAGAGGGAGTGCTGTGCAGCAACTAAACAAAATGTTGAAGAGTGCCAATAACATGAGCAAATCGTATGCATTCCGCAAATTGAAGTAGCTCTGATCAGCAGCTGTTGACATGACATAGTCACTCACTCTGTGGCTTGGTCGTCATCCTCTCCTGCGACTGTGGCTGCATCCTCATTAAAATCGTCGAAGCTGAGGCTAAGTGTTTGCAGCTTGAAGCCAGCTCCCTGGATGGCTTCTACCAGGTTTGAGGCCACCCCGGTAGCTTGCACCGTCGTCTCCTTTGTCAACTGTAGAACCAGCAGCAACAGAAGCGTAGATCGACAACATCAGTTCAGTTATTGGAGTGAAGATTATAAATAAAAAAGCTCGGATGAAAGAAATGAGTTCATGTTGATTTGCATCATGAGGCTTGAGATGGATGAAGAAATAATGGCTGAGCTAACACAGCACAGCCCAGATATCAGTACAGAGTTAGACATTGTTAAACATGCTTGGAGTTAATCTCTGTATTGTTAGGAAAATGAAATCATGGTGACCTGAAGTCAGGGGTTATATGGCCTTTTGTTGTGTATGCTTCTAGAATATGAAAGAAACATGGTAGTCTGAGAATAAATGAGAAAACAGAAAAGGCAGCAGGAAAAGAATCGGTGATACAATTGACTGGTTTAAGGCACCATGATCAGGTATGGAAATTTCTTATTGTGAATTTCTCAACCATTGATGATTATCAATCAAGGAACGTATCCTTTCCACACAAGTCTTATCATGTACACATCGTGCACATCAACTAAAAAATATCACAAAAAATTATGCATGTACATCTATGTGTAAAGTCTCGTCTTCAAATTCATTATATATATGGGGCAACAAAAAAGACAAAATACTGATAGATTTATACTCTCAAAACTGTCAGAATTTTTATCTTCTTTTGTTAGGTTAAATTATAATGAATTTGGGATTAAGATTTTACACACAAGTGTAATACTATTGGAAGTACCTGTACAATTTTTTATAGAATTTTTGGCGAAATTTGTTAGTTAGTGTGCATGGTGTGTACACGAGAGGACTTATGTGCATAGGATATGTTCCCTATTAATCGTATAGTCACTTGCCTTGGAGATTTTGCACAGTGATTATTACCTCCATTGTAATAAATCCCTTCTCCAGTCTTCAGGAAAATAAAGCTTTTATTTGGTAAAAGATAGGTATCTTTGCATCAAGATTAGGTAATAGTGATTAAAGAGCCTAAATCTGTTTGTAACATAGAAGATCCCAATACAGATAAAAAGCAATTTTCAGGAGAAAAACAACAATATCACCGCATACATGTATATCACCACTCAGAATTCAGAAATCATAACAATAAGAGATTTTGTCAGATTAAATAGAACACTTTCTTGACCATGAGCTCAACAAACAATTGGAAACCGATGTCTTAAAATTTCTGGGAAACTATTGGTTTGGTAGTATTTGTGTACATTTTGGCTGTCATAATCTTTGATTCAAACAAAGCACTGAAGTTTTTGCAGGCTGAGATATTTTAGCCGATCTTTATTTGAAAGCAAATATTGCCCTGCTTAAACATGTTGTTCACTCTTGTTCTGAGGTAAGAAAAATATCTAGTTCAGTTACTGCAAATGCAACAAGCAAAATATATCATCTTCTTGTAACTGAACAATGGTTCACCCGTGAGCAATACAGTTAGGATACAAATTTGTTCTTGTAGAATTCCTGGTAGCGAGGTTCATATCACTTGCATATCTTTTTCTTGTAGTACAGCGTATGGAATTTTAAAGATGTACTTAAGTACAAAATAACTCAAAGGTGACAACTATAAGACAATATAGGAGACATTGCCATCCTGTTTTGCTTCCAAGTTGAGTTGTTCTTGTTCACTAGCTACTAATAAGTTGTCAGAGAGATCTGTTCTACCTGTTATTATAGACAAAACTCTGTGCATCCGTATGTTAAACTATTGCATATTATTTTGAAGCTTATTGTTACAGACAGATAAGCGACGCAAAATCAATGATCTTCTTCCTGATGCCACGCGATTTATCTGATGAGTGCTGACATACCACAACAAATCCATAAATTTTCTTAAAGATGTACTTTAGAACAAAATAATTCAAGGGTGGCAACTACAAGACAAACATAGGACATTTGCCACCATCTCTTGCTTCCAAGTTGAGGTTGTCCTTGTTCACTAGCTAGTCAGGTTGTCAGATAAACGTGCTTGACCACTTCCAGGACACATAACACACAAAACTATTGCACAATTGGGTTTGACCTCACTGCTGGATAACTAGGTGCATTGCAGAACAAATTTATGATGGCGTAGGAGCAGGCGAGCTTACCACAACACTTCCGATGCCTTCCTCGATGAGCACCTCCAGGTCGCTCACCCCCTCCACCCCCTACACCACAAAACCACGCACATTTCATTTCATTCTCCATCAATTGCAGATCCATTCACGATTTCTTGCCCATTCTCCGTTTTTGCCGCCCACCCTCCCAAATTCGGAAGGAAGTAACAATACTCAAGGGTGTATTAGCGAACCTCGAGGGCCTGGGTGATCTTGGGGATGGCCCTCTCCTCCATGGTACCCTCCGCCTTGAAGTAGAGGATGAGGGAGTCGGAGGTGTAGCCCGGAGCGGCGGCGGCGGCGTCGGGCGCGGCCACCTCCGCGCTGGCCGCGCGCACCACCCCGAGCCGGCGGCTGCCCCTCCGGGCCAGAGCTCCGCGGAGGAGGCGAAGGGAGCGGGGCCCGAGGGAGGGCGAGGCGGGGAGGCAGGCGGTGGCCGCCGGCGACGACATGGTCATCATCATCTTGCTTTGCTCGCTCGCTGGCTTGCGACCTCCTCCAACGGCTCTTCTTCCTCCTCTTATCCTTGGCTGCTTATTTGATGGATAGGGTGCGGGAGTTTGGTTATTGGGCTGGCAAAGCTAAGGAGGGGGAGGCCCAACTGGGCTTGTTAGTGCATGAGCCCATGGGCCAGACGTGGGCTGCAAACTAAAGAAAATAATTAGGAATAAGTTCACCGGAGTTCCCCCAACTTAACATCGAGATTTTTTGAGGTCTCTTAACCACATAACCAGAAATGTCTACCCCTAAACTATGTAAAACTATCGAAAAAGGTACTAAGGCAGTATAACAGCCCGGTTTCGCAAAAAAGTTAAAATAAATATGTGGGCCCATATGTAAGTGAGAGAAAATGGTGTGGGACCCACATTTTTCCTTTCCTTTCTTTCTTCTCTTCTCTCCCAATTCTCTCTAGTGGGCGCGACGACAGACGGGAGAGAGGTGGCTGGCGGTGAAGCGGGGGTGGTGGGAGAGGGGGAGAGAGCCGGCCAGTGCGACGGAGGCAGCGGGAGAAAAGGAGAGGAGGCGGCCGGTGTGACGGCAGCGGTGGGAGAGGGGAAGAGAGCCGGCCGGCACGACAACGACAGCGGGAGAAAAAGAGAGCAGACAGCCGGCGTGACGGCAGTGGCAGGAGAGGAGGAGAGGAGGCAGTCGGCGCAGTCGAACGCGCACGGGATGCGGCGGACGATGCCTAGTAGGATGGCGTCCTCATCGTCACCATCTTCCGCATCATCGTCGCGGTCGACAGGTGCCAGGCGGAGTGGTTTGGGAGGGAGGGGGAGGCAGCCAGCGAGCTCGCCCCGCCTGCGCGCAAGCACGCCCATCCGTAGCTTGGTGTGCCGGGGACGACGACGAGGAATGGGGGAGAGAGGAATTGACAGCCGATGACAGCAGAGGCGGGCAAGTGTGGCGCTGGGCTACTCACGCTCCCCGACTAGGCCCCCCGCTCCGCCGCACTTGCCCGCCGCCCTCCACACACCGCTGCTTCGCTTGCTGCGCTTGTGGAGGAAGTCGACGAACATGACGACGATGATGACGACGCCGGCGGGTGAAGAGCTGGAGCATGACGAGCACCACCGCTCCACCATCCGCTCTCGCCCGCCGCCCATGGCCAGCTTCGCTTGCCCGTCACTCCGTTGCCGCTCTCGCTCGCCGCTCCGCCTGCCGCTCTTGCTTGCCGCCCCGCCCGCCGTACCCACCGTCTCGGCCGACTCTCTCCCCATCTCCCGCGGCTCGCCGCGAACCCGCGCCCACCTCCTCTCCCCCTCTTCCGCTTCTTCCCCGCGCGCCGCCGAGCCTGCTCCGCCGCCAGCTGTTGCGCCCGAATCTGCCCGCCTGCTTGTGAATGTGCATCGGAGATGTGGGCCCCACATACTTTTTTTAATTTTGTTTTGCTGACTAAGATGCCACGTCAGTGAAACCACCCATATTTACTGCCATAGGACCTTGAGTTTAGGGGTACACATTTCTAGTTTTCGTGGTTAATAGACCTCAAAAAAATCTCACTGTTAAGTTGAGGGACCTCCGGTCAACTTATTCCAAATAATTATTCTATTAGAGCAGGTTTGGGTTAAAATGATACGGTATTTTACACTACTGGAGAGGGAGAGACTCCCGAGTGTCAAAAACACTCGGCAATGCATGAAAAACACTCTGTAACAGAGTTACCTAGCGCCACACTCCGTAATCTTCGCCCGGGAGAGATTTCTCCTTCCCGTGCATAGTTGCGTGTGTCCTAGGTGGATACACCGCGTAACAGTGTGATAATTGCCGTGTGCTCTAAGCACTCGGTAACATTTTCACCCCACCGTCCAACAGAACTCCACAGGCAACGGCGACAGAGACGGAACGGTCACGGCACAGTTGCGTAGTGCAGAGAAAGTTACCGTGTGTTTTTCAATCGGACACACCCGGTAAACCTTCTCTTGTTACCGGGTGTTGACATAGCATGACACACGTTAACTTTTCAAGAAACACACACCAACAGTGCCCTCGTTACCATGTGTTCAGTTTAGGACACTGTAATGTGACACACAAGAACTCTACTTGAGGGCAAACTAAAATGGGTTTGCTGATTCATTTATATTATTTGCTTACATCAGAATAGTAGGATCCTAATAACACATCACAGATGATCACACATACAATGGTAGAATGGATTTCAATGCATTGACATCCATGTTCAATTAATCAGTTTGGCAACAATCTAATATGAAACAATAGCAATGCCAATCTCATCAGCTACATCTGAGATGTAATTTGAATATTAATTCTTAAGCTTAGATAACCAAAGAGGTAGTGCAACTAGAAAAGAGTTGACGAATGGTATCGCAGGCAGTCCGACAACACCTCAAATAATATGCAGATGAGCCAGTTGACTTGCAGATCCTGAGATTGCAAAAAAAGAGGTAAGATTAATTAGGTAGGTCAGCTTTACTTCAAAACAACATTTTATGTACATGTATCTAAAACAGTGATAGCACATTTATATGAAATAGCAATAGCAGAAAGTTTATATAAATGATCTATGCAAATAAAAAAACTACCTGAACTTATTCATGCTTTCTTCAAGAATTGTCTAGGTTTATTACAAAATTCAGGTATAGCAAAAGTAATTGATATTGGAAACTTTTATTGATGGCACATGCCAAGAAGCGCTATGCACCCAAGTGACTGGTCAAGTGCTTATAGAAGTTCTTTCTTTATACTAGCCAAGTGCCCATGTATTGCACTGAAATCCAAATAAATGATTGCACATGTTCAAAATAGGGGGAAATGCAAGATTGAAATCAAACTTCTCTTATCTTCATGATTCCTGGTATATAATGTTATTTAGGATAAAAATGATTATGATCCTAACTCAAACAATTCTTGCTCATCTATCAAAAAGTTTATCTTACTATCAACAATTTATGGGATTTGTACAAACAAACTCATCAATTTGCTAGCACCAAAATTGTAAATCATGTAATCAGATGACATGAGTTAATTAGGGTTACCCCTACTAATTTTTCTGTGTTATTTTCTCATATTCAGAAATCCAATGGTATGAGAAGAATCAATTAAGAGAATATACAATAGTAAATTCAATATTCAGACATTGTAGTAGACAACGGAACTTTGCTTGTAGTACCTGCTTTGGTGTTGGTCATTTACATTCTTTATTTGTCACTCTTCACCTAGTAGACAGAGCACCAATTGATTGAGAATCTACTGCCTTGGCTATCCCAATGCTTGTCATTGTCCTGAAATGAATACACAGAGTGACCTTAGGTGGGTAAAATTGTTGTGGCTTATGTCAGCAAATCCCCTGTTTTACTCACGCGAGACTGTGGCTATCCTAGAACTCTGACCTTTTCAGACGAAAAACAGTTTACTGAAAAACAGAGCAAAACGAGAGAACATAGTTTTTGTGCTGCGCAATACTTGCAGTTTTTTCGTCACTCCTCTTTATCTATTTATTATCCTCCTTATAAACTAGAGTTTGTTACATGCATATGACCACGTAAACACTCGATCCATACATTGCGCCATCCCACAACAGAATCAAGATAGGTCACCGATCCGAAAATGCAGCTAACTGAAAAAAAAACTAACTGAAAACTAACTATGCAGGAACTAGTCTAAGCAACAACTTAAAATACGAAGCACAAGATTACAAATTTAGTCAACAGCTTATTCCATGATAATTACGTTGGGCCTGTTAATTTATGATTTAACTAATAAAAAGGAAACATGCCAACCTGAGAGAGAGAAATGGCTCCCTGGCTTTGCAGTGAGTAGAATGTCTGAGGTGGTGCCTATGATGGCTTGAAATGGAGCCGAGCTAGATTGGTTCAGTACTGGAACAGACATTGCAATGACTTCTTGGAACATGCCTCCAATCTTCTGAAAAAAGGGAATAATAATTTCACACAAGTAAATTTTAGGCATCTCTAAATCAAACTACAGATATATGTACAGTTGGTTCATACTCCATATGATTTTAGTTGTGTTGTACTGGCTGGCTCATGGAAGCAATCCTCAAGAAAAGGAATTGCATCATATAGATAAAACAAGAATTTTATCTCCACTTAATTCCAGTAACTTGCACAAAAGCACAATTGTTTCTTCTTACTAACACTAATAAAGTGAAAAAATTGATAATTGTAAATAGCTACACTTTATCATTATGAAAGATGAAAAAAGTAGTTTCATTATCAGAAATAGGTTTAAACCCTGAAAACAAATGAGCACTGAAGAAAGGTTCTATAAAAAAGTACTCCTACACGACAAATTGAATATAAGTATGTCTTACGAGTAGTTACTAGCTACACGAGAAATCAAATCTGAGCTCCAAGTTCTCCACCTGAAACCAAAATGCGTAGTTCTTATATTTAGATGGAAAAAAATCATATTCTAGAAAAAAGCCCTTTGCAGCTGTCCAGGTGAAAAGTAAAATGCTTCTCTTCACAAATCAAATCCACAAAGGCCCTTCTCCATGCGTGCAGGAGGGAAGAAAGAGACATGGGGTGGGAAGAGAGAGATCATACCATGGAGAGGTAGCTTGCCTGTAAGTCTTGCCCGGGTCCTTCTTCACCTAACTTCTGCATTAACCTATAAAAAAAATCCCCAATTAGAAAAATCTTGAATGAACCAGATAACTTAGGGAATAGCCCAGATATTATAGATCTGGGACAAAGGAGCTTGTGGGAAGGAATTGACCTGAGGAGGGCAGCGCGGCCCCTGGCCATCGTCGCGCCGGAGCAACTGCCATGGGTGAGGTGGCGCTGGATCTGGCTGCCCCGGACTCATTGCCGGCAGTCTGGTGTCCCCATTGCTCTGGCGAGTAGGGCAAAGGAGAGGATGTTGCGGAGGGAGGGCTAGAGCTGGAGCAGCAGGAAGAGGGGGGAGAGCCGCAAGTACGGCGGCAGCACCGAAGTGGGGAACATGACCTCCAGACGTGGCGACAGGGCTCGTAAGTGGAATATTCGGGGGAGTATGGAGCAGGTGGCGCTGGATCTAGCTGACCCGCGTTCATCGGCGTCAGAGCCGGTGGATCCGTTGCTCCGGCGAGGAGTTCAAGGGGAGGAGGAGCAGGAGGATTTGGACGCGCCGACGCGGAGAAAGGGAAAAGGGATGCGTGAAAGGTGTTACTCTGGGAGGAGGATAAGGTTGGAGAGGCGCCCTAGTAAGATAAAGATGGGGAAATTGCATTCCCGCGTGCGCCACTAGAAATTGTAAATTTTGGGAGAGATTTTCTTTTCGTTTGCACATTAAGCAAATAATTTTCTATTTGTTATAACTGGTTTCTTTCTACTTCAAAAATATTCATTGATAACCATCAAATTGAAGAAACATCTCCGTTTTTTAATTGAAACTACCATGATTTTTCTGAAATTGAATTTGAATGCTACCTAGTTTTTTAAGCTAACTGAACACAAATTTGGACCGGTTTATGTCAAACTCTGATGGACTTTCATTAAAAGCACCGAGACAAGCATCCCCCATGAGTTTTGAGAAAATAAAATAGTTTTACGAAAAAACAAGTTTCAGTTTAAATGTGATGAAATTTGAAAATAAATAAAGGAAAATTGTAGGAATGTGTGGAAATATTTGGGGAAATGGTGGAAAATTTATATAAGAAAGCAAGGACGGCGAAGATGGCGAGGACGGCGGCCGGCGGAGATGGCGAGGACGGCGGCCGGCGGAGTGGAGCGGGGTGGCAGCAGCGGTGGACGAGCGCGCGGCAGGCGGCAGCTAGCGGCGGTAAGCGAGCGCGCAATAGGAGCAGCCGCGGCGGGCGGCTAGCGAGAGTGGCGTGCACCCCACGGCGACAGCGATGGCGACGCAAGCTCCCATGTCGGCTGATCTCTCCGGCGTCGGGCTAGCGGCTGGGCTCGCCGGGCAAGTGGCGGCGGCGGCGGCCTGAGAGTGAGAAAACGAGGTGGGAGGGCGCTTCCGACGCTTCTTCTCGTAGGCGATGCCGCGCACCTTGGCCTGGCTGTCGCGGACGTAGAGGCGGACAACGCGGGCACCGAACGGGTTGGCCTCGGGGTGGCCTCCATGCTCGTCGAAGGCGGTGCAGAGGCGGCCGACGAGCGTGTCGAGGCTGCCCCACGCCTGGCGGAGCGGGCACGGGCACAGCGTTGGCGGCGAGGGGTGGCTCCGGTGGCCACACGCTCGTCCACCGCGGCCACCGCCCCGCTCAACTCTGCCGGCCGCCGTCCTCGCCATCTGAGAGAGAAAAGAGAGATGAGGAGAGAGACAGGAGATAGAGCTGATATGTGGGCCCAAGGGCATTTTTGACATTTCACGCGATTTCTCTCTCCTCCCCAACCGGAAAGTATTATTTTAATCGGCGCGGTGTCCACTGGCAAATTATCACGTTTATGGAGTGTTTTCCCCTAAAAGTGAGTTTGGGCAGTGTTCTAGGGCTAAAACCACACATAACAAGTGTCCTGTAGCAAAATTTGCCATTAATATAATGTATAAAATATATTTAATATAGGATTTAATAAAATTAATTTGGTAGATGTTATTTTTTTTATAAACTTGATCAAACTTAAAAAAATGAGTTCAGAAAATCAAAGCAACTTACGTTCTACTCCCTCTGTCCCAAATAAGTGCAGCCACGAGTTTCTGTGTCCAACTTTAATCGTCCATCTTATTTAAATTTTTTTTAAAAAAAACTAAAAAAACATAAGTCACGCTTAATGTACTAGAAATGTTTTATAATCTAATAACATAAAAATATTAATCATAAAAAATTCAAATAAGACGGAAGATAAAAGTTAGACATGAAAACTCATGGCTACACTTATTTGGGACGAAGGGAGTAGAATGTAAGTTGTTTTGATTTTTTGAACTCATTTTTTAAAGTTTGATCAAGTTTATAAAAAAAATAACATATACCAAATTAATTTTATTAAATCCTATATTAAATATATTTTATATATTATATTAATTTATTTGGTGTTGAAAATATTACCATGCTTTTCGATATTTTTTTTACTTACAGAACTGCCAGGGTAATAGAGGGAGTAGTCACCGAAATATAAATGCCTTATTTTAAGAATGACGACTATTTTATTTAGCAAAAAAAACCCCAAGAGAAACGGGATGTTCAGATTAAAAAAGTCACGTAGCAAATTAAACAAATCAATTTTTTTATAACTCTCCAACTAACGGAAATATTTCTCAATGTTCATTGACATGTGGTCCCCACCAGGCCACCACCATCTCCTCCGTTACATTTGTTACGGTTGCCGAGTGATATGCAATAGCTCTTTGTAAATATCAGACGCCGTCACGTTTTCTGCTACTTTTCTGTTTCCGCCGCATGGGATTCGCTCCTGCGCCGTCCCCACCACAGCAAATGCACGGACGCCAAAAGAAACAGCCGTTCCACACCAATGAAACGTGCTGTACTGAGGGATGGGGGACCCACATTCGCTGGTGTAATACTCCATTTTCCTGGTGTTCCCCAGTGTTCTGAATGAACACCCCGTAACAGAAGTTGTTGCAGAGTGTTCCCCTGAAACACCCGGTAATTTACGGAGTGATACAAGGACACTACGTAAACTTTCTGCTCACACCCGGGAGTGTCTCCCATCCTGAGCCCACCTTATCCCTTTTTTTTAGTATGGGCTGTAGTTTAGTCGTAAAAAGTTACTATATTTTATGGCAAAAATTCTTTGGTGAGAATACCGCACCGGTACTATGGGTAGTTTAATAGTAAAAAGCTACTCCCTCCGTTCCAAAATATAACAACTTTTAGCCATCAGGATTTATCCTAAAATATAACAACTTCTCTACAATCATTCTCTTCCTAACCAATCACAACCCTTCACCATTCACTTTTACCTATCTATACTTTCTATATAGTTGGTACCCACTAACAATTATTAGAAGGTAAAGCTCAACATGTAAGTATGCCACATCATTACCCACTAGCCATTACTATTCTAGCCCATTTAAAATCCCATACAAGCATGCCACATCTTCACTCACTAGCAATTACTATTCTAGCCTATTTTAAATCCCATGCAAGCATGACACATTATCTACAATATTATATTATAGAGATCAACAAGTATATGTCAAATCATCTTCCTCACATTATTTTCTTAACATTTCAACTTTCATCATTTTGACAATATTTAACATATACTCATTCATGAATTCCGCAGCAAAGCACGAGGTATCACCTAGTTTTCTTAATAACCGTATCCAACCCTAAAACTTCTTATATTCTGGGACGGAGGGAGTACCCTTTATGTATCCTAAAAGCATGTGCAACATTGGAATTAGAGGGGTTCTCTCCTATAGAACCTGCTTTGGAATTACACACCGCTCATGTTATAAGTTGTTATATTTAGGATAAAATTTGAATTCTAAAACTTGCTATATTTTTTACAGATGCAATAGCCTCTTTAGACCGTATTATATATTTGAGGTAAATTACACTCATTTTTTAATTCGTACTTGATGTAAAAATAATACGAAAGATCACAAACCACACATGTTGGTGAGACAACAATGACAAATAAATAATAGTGTAAATTGCATATCAGGTTTTATATTTTTACCAAACTTTCACTTTAAATCATTCTTTCTCAAATGTTTTCATACGAAGCCCGATATTTACCAATCCTTTGCAGTTTGGACCACCCATGGCTTTCTTTCCTACCTCTGGTTCTTCGCTACCTGTTGCTATCAACGCCTACTCACCTCATTCCCTAATTACCATCACTGACTGTTGTCATGTTCATCGTGAGCTTTACCCCTTTACTAAGCTCGAGTGGTCGAGCTCCGCCTCCCCTCCAACTCAAGCTAAAGCTCTTTCGTGGAGGAGGGCAACAGTGCGAGCACAAGTGACTTCCACGAGCTCCCTACCGTCTTGCTAATTCTCCTGCTTCACTCCAGATCAAGCAGTCGGATTTGGGAACAACAGCTACCGCTACTCTAATTGTAGTCCTTCATGAGAGTTGACTGGAGTTTGGTATGACCGTCACCGCCTTGCACTCAACCATTACCATCTCCTTCGTGTGCTCCTCCCTTGCCCATCGACTGCACCTTGGCACCATTACACTGTCCGACATACAATTAATGAAGAGGCCTAGCATCGAGGACATCAACAAGAAGAGGGGTACTGGTGGCTGTGGCAATAGCTGCCCTAGTTTGTGGTGGCTAAGATGATGGACATGGAGGAGCTCAAGAGGAGGAACAAGAAGAGTCGCCGTGAGTGAGATCCTCGATCGAGGCCAATTGAGCAACCTTTCCTCCTGCTCCCACAGCTATACGACGTCATCGAGATTGATAGGCCAGTTGTCTCTTCTCCTCACCAATTTCTGCCCTAGAGGTGATCTCAGTGCCAACGAATGTTAGTGCCCAGTGAATGATCGATTATTGCAGGCTACTATCTTCGACCGGGTGGGTGTATAAGGAAAGGTCATGTTCGGATGCGAGGAGAGCTCGCCGACATCCTTCCTGCTGCCAAGCTCGTTCCTTCTTTAATCTCCTAGTCATCTTATAGGTCGGTTAGCTACCGATCCAAAACATAAAGCATGGGTAAAAACACCCGATTTTATGTGAAAAGGTTGAATAGGGATGTAGGGATGGTTAAAAGTATGACCCAATCAACAATTTACTCCTAACATTTAATTTGAGCTTTTTTATTGTCCAGCAGGGGAGGGCGGTACCAAATATGGGCCGTCGATACAGGCCGATCGGATGGCTAACAAGAATCGAGTACCTGGCAGTACCAGCGCTCCCCCCTAGTAAAAATGCTCTGAAGGGTAAAACTGTAATATCGTTGTCAAAAACGCTTCCGCCTAGCGCCCCTTCCTCTTCTGTTCTCCCAGCACCACCGCACCTCGCATGAGGACGAGCGTCATCACCGACAGCAGGGGGAGGCAATGCGGGAGCTAGGGATCGGATCGGCTTCCCAAGCCTAGGAGGCTCCAGATCTGGTCGCGCCACCCCCGAGGGTGCTGTCCCCTCCTCCTCCCTGCCTTCCCGCTACCCTGTGTTCTTCCACCCACAATCACCAATGTTCTCTTCCTCTAGCCAAAGGGCAGCACAGTGCTCTTGGTGATCTAGGAGGCTGTCCACCAAGCCATAGCACCTAACCTTTCCCCATGGCGGCAGCTTGACCCGATGATTGTGAGGCTGTGTGACAAACTGACAATGGTGGTTTGCCGCGATTGCAAGGATCAATTCATCGAACAACGGTAAGTCCTCTTAGGTTCTAACACCTGTGTTTTTTTCCCTATTTTCAACGGATCACAAGGACGTTTCTGTATGGGCGCATTTTAATGTAAAAAAACACAGGATTTCAAATTAGATTTTACATGCTTGAAGCGATATCATATATATTCACAACTCACAGTATTTTAAATTAGAGAGGACTGAAACTTAGCAAGTTTATTTTGCAAGAATTCAAAGATGTTGTGATGCTAACTAACTGGCGTAACCATATTTTGTCAGAACTTAATATGTATGAAATGTCTTGTAAGAACATGAGTTTTATGGGAACACATATCTGCTGTTCTATCTCATGTTCTATGGGTTTTATATCCTTTTGTATATCAAGCACTATGTCTATAAAAGAATTATTTAGGTCCAATGCTACCTTCCACTTACAAAGAAAAAACAGTAGTTAAATTTTACATATCACTGTCCTGATAGAGCTTTGCACGAAAGCAATTTTGGAGATTGTATTCTTTTTTATGAATGAATCGGCAAGCCAATTTTGGAGATTGTATTCCACTTAACAATGGTTGCTCCTTCCCTGGCCAGGCTGCTTGGACTACTTTTTTATTCAAACCTTAAAAGTGTTGATTTTTTTCAGGTTTTGGTGATCGGGACCAAAATATGTCCAAAGGTGGCTGGATCAGTTTGAATTTTGTGAGCTCAAGCTCCTCTGGGAGGATTTAAGCCAAGGAGTACGTTAGGAGGCTTTGGCCTATGCGTATATGTAACCTGATATGTGTGCATTAGGAGGGCTGTGGCCTATGGGTGTATGTGAACTGTGATACATGTGAAGCTATTTTGATGTATGTATGTTTTCAAGTTCTTGGGTTGGGGGTTAAATAATGTGATATTAAGTTTTTTTGTTGTCAACGTTCTTGTTATGAATGTCCATGAATAAAGGGGAGATTATGCGAAACTTTTAATAAATTTCGGACTTGGTATAATGTGTTGTTTGGTAGGACTGCATTATGCAATCTTTT